AGCATTTGTTGACTTATATCAACTCAAGTTTTGGTACCAACGCATTGACAATACTTCCATCTGTTCCGACATCAGGGACTGTTCTGCGCAAACGCTTTCGGTTAGATGGAGCTAAACAACCAAACCAGGCTCTTTCATCCCCATTTTCTAAATCAACAAACTTTCATTTCTGTAAAGGCCACAGAAGCAGCGTGTGTTCATGGATGCTAAGGACAATAACAATGAGTGGGTGTGTACTTTGGGCTTTGTGTTTTGCAGGAAAACCATTTTGTACGCTAAAGTTTGTATTTACAAACTTTACAGCCCTTTGTGCAGTGGTTTTGTTGCTGCCTCCAAACTCTGAAGCAAAACCAAATTGGTCTGACCTCCATGAAGTCAATTCATAACAATGATAATTAATGTGGTTTAGGAGAATCCATACTCGGGTCCCACCGGCCCAAAGTAGTAGGAATCTGTAACATGTGTAGGCTTAGTCAGTCTATTCCCTGTTTCAATGCATGCTACATCTACATCTATTGTATCAATCCTCGTTCTACAGCCTGGATCTTCCGCTTGTCCATCCGTGGGAGCCGATTCCTCTCTCTTTTATTTTTGGAGTCGTTCTTTGCTGATGCAGGAGGCTCTGAGGACAGTAATAATCCAAGACATTTCTGGATATTTCCTAATATTCATGGACAGTGGTCATCCCGCTTCCTATGGATCAATGGCTCCTATGTGTTTGTTATTATCGCAATTTCGTTTTTTGAACTGCTTCACTGATTCGTTGCTGTTGAATCGACAACTTTGTAAAGCCCTCCAAAATGACTGCTGTTGTGTTTGTATGAAGAAATTTGAGTTGGAATCCAAATATCTGCACAATTCCCCAGGCGTTTGTATCCTCTCAACAGTACACTCTAAAAACATGCACTTTATCTCCACCATCATTGCTGTTGTGTTAAAAAGTCTCCAGAATTAGCTTCAAAATAAATACGCTAAAAATCTCTTTCTTGATTCTTGAGTTTGATCACAATCCAATGGAAATTCCAATCCGACCATTCAAAGAAAGAAGAAATATTCTCTTTGTTTTGCGTGATATAATAATTGACCATTCCGAAGAGCGCTAATCCAAGAACATCACAACTTTCCTGGTATAGCTCTCTCTCCCCGTCATCACACATTGTTTTTCGAGTCCATGGTGCAGCTCTAATTCCAGTTGCCACATAACAGAGCTCAGATAAATGATGACGAAAGGCGTGGAACCATTTGTCTGTGCACAACAAAGAAGAAAAAAAAAAGTATTTGTCTGAAACCCAAGAATAGTGTGAAGAATGTAATCCATTGAAGCGTGTCGGGAGGGGGGAGCCAGAGCAGTGCATTATGGGTAACACTGAAGCACTTACCAATTACAGAGAGAATAATAACACACTGCGTTACAAATGAAGGATGGCTTTAGTCAGGTTATGTAATGCTGGTTTCTGTCTTGTGTTTAGCTCCCTCCGCACTATTATTAACTTAAATTATAGGTCCTCAACATTTGACCCATCCTACGACGTCTCTCGGACCTCTGTCAGAAGCAGTGGTCGCCAAAGTACAGCGTCTCCAGATACTGATGCTCGGCTTGGTCAGGACCCGGAGGTGGAGGATTTGACCTATTCTACATGTTTTTAGTGGTATGGGGAACTTGAGCACCCAGGAGAAACCAACACAGACACGTAGAGAACATGCAAACTCCACTCAGAAAGGTCCTGTTCTGACTGGGATATGAACCCAGGACCTTCTTGCTGAGTGCTATCTACTCCTTCTGTCCAAATAGTCTCCTACAAAGACATGGCAAGAGCCCTTTTCTACGTTTTAAAACTAAAGAATTCCCAGTTACATACATTTTTACAACTGCAGGCCTTCAGGTAAGACAAGAAAACCTGTATTCATCCCACAGTGGGGAAAACATCCAAACTTCATAACTACATCAAGCCCCAAACTTGCTCAGACAGTAGCGAGATGAGGAGGTGCTGGAGGAGAGCCCATCATGGGAGAACAAGCCCCTACACGGCATGTACCACCGGAGCATAACAGAAGTGTCTGATCTCAAGAAGTCCTACCAATGGCTAGAAAGGGCTGGCCTACAGGACAGCACAGAGGCACTCATCATGGCTGCACAGGAACAGGCACTGAGCACCAGAGCGATAGAGGCCCAGATATACCACACCAGACAAGACCCAAGGTGTCGGTTGTGCAAAGAGGCACCTGAGACGATCCAACACATAACTGCAGGAGATGCTGCAGGGAAGGCCTACATGGAACGCCATAACCAAGTGGCTGGCATAGTGTACAGAAACATCTGTGCAGAGTATGGGCTGGAAACTCCCAGGTCTAAGTGGGAAACTCCTCCAAAGGTGGTGGAGAATGAGCGTGCAAAGATCCTGTGGGACTTCCAGATACAGACCGACAAGATGGCGAACCAACCTGACATCTTGGTGGTAGACAAAGGGCAGAGGACAGCCGTGGAAGGATGTGGCAATTCCAAGCGATGGTAACATCAAGAAAACATCAAGAAAAAAGAGAACGAACATCTTAAGAAATACCAAAGGCTCAGAGAGGAGCTGGAGAGGGCCAGGAGGGTAATGGTGGTGATCGGGGCAGTGACCCTTAAGCTGGAGGAGTAGTTACAGCAAATCCCTGGAACAACCTCGGAAATCTCGATCCGAAAACAGCTAAGATACTGCCCAGAACCCTCAAGCTCTCAGGCCTCTGGTAGAGCCCCGAGCAGAGAGAGGGGTAACCGCCTACAGAGGGTGAACGTAGAAAATATTTTAATACATATATATCGTAATTTGTCATTAACTCAACTTCAGCTCCATCAAAGCTAATCATGACGCTCAGAAAAGCTTGAATCTAGTCAAAACAGTTTTACAATCCAGCTTGTCGGCCCTGGACGGCAACATTTGGCCTCTCACTAAAATGTTTGGACGCCCCTGCTCTAGACATTATTTTTAACATTTTAAAACAGAAAATGTAAATATTCTCCAGATCATAAGGGTAAAGACTCAATGTTTGTTTTTGCATTATCGATTCTCAATATTACCAGCTTGCATTTTAGTATTCATCAGGAGGAAAAGGTCTTCTGTATTTATCGGTGCTGAAAATATGTCCTCGTTATAATAGAAAAGGGAGTGTAGAGAAGATTCACCGATACGCAACAGTACAGGGACAACACAACACATCTGTTACTCTGCACGCGCACACACACACACACAGAAACACACACACACACTCACACAGAAGCTTCCGATTTGGCCTCTGAGAGAAGACACACACAGAATGATGGCGATGGGGGGACGACCAGAAAATAACATCATTTCTTCTTTTGCGCGGCACTAAATGGACGGTTGTGATTGGAATGTCAGTGTCGTCAGGACAACACACAGATCAAAGGGTTAAAATCCATCATTCTTTTTGTGTGATTAGAGGTCATTGTTTAGACTCTCGGCCTAATATTGTGTACTCCCAACTCCACACTACAGTAATATATCACACAACGTTGAATATTGAAAAAACACATTATTAAATTCAATACAACATTCATTTTCTGACTTTTTATTATGTCTTTGTCATTATTGGAATTATGAAATTATCTGCAAAGAGCATTACTTAATTGTAAAAAAAAAAATATGTAATCTCTCTATTATTATATATTGTTTACTATAATGTTTGGATACCCTAAGTTTAAGATGCTTTGTTTTATGTGTTATGCTTGAGATAAAAAAAAAAAAAATAATAATAATATGTATTCATTCTTTCATCTTCTACATTTAACCCATTCATTGAAGCGTAAAAATTAGCCATTTTTGGTCGCTTGGCAACCAATATAATGTGGCAGTTAAAGCCCCATTTCTCCAGGTGCTGGTCCTGGACTGGTCCTGGTTCTGAGCTGGGTCAAATTGGTTTCGCACCAGAAAAGAGCAAGTGGTAGTTACTGTAGCGAGAACAATGTCAGGAGAAAGCATTTGGTAGCTTTTAAACAAACAAAAGGTAAAACATATTTTTGGGAAATTTTTCAGATGTTTCAGATTTCAATTGTTTCAGAATTCTGGGAGTCCTGGTTTTAAAAGAACAAACAATGTCTCACACGATCCTTTGAAAATGTTGTTGGAATTTCATGTTTTGGCCTAAGTGGAAAATGCAAAAGTGATGAAGATGAGGAGGATGAAGAGGTCCAAGATGGTCTTCATGTTTAGTCTCTCAAACACGACACACATTTGTGACAAAAACATGGGTCCTGCTGGTGCCCAGAGTCAGTATTTCAGGTTTACAGGGCCAAAACCGCGAGCCTGCAAGACCGGGTCCAATTATAAATCCAGAACAAAAACTTATGACTCATTTTGGAATTATCCTTTTTCTTTAATTCGTATATTTATTTGTACTGATTTATAAATCACTGTTTTACATGTATTTTCACTGTTTTTTATTTTTATTATTGTCTGTTTCTGTCTGTGAAGCACTTTTCTTTACACTTTATAAATTATGCTTTACAAATAAATTGGATTGATTGATACAGGCCTGAAATATTGAAGCAACACTTTTGTTTTAGAAGAAAGAAACCAGTGCATCACAACCAGGAAACAACTAATAATAACAACAATAATAATAATAATAATAATAATAATAATAATAATAATAATAATAAAGTAGTATAAATGTTCCCTTTAGTTACAGAGGGACCATTTCTGTGTCATTTCTGTATCTGAGGGCCAGAGTCTGAGGGCCAGAGTCTGAGGGCCAGAGTCTAAGGGCCACAGTCTGAGGGCCAGAGTCTAAGGGCCAGAGTCTGAGGGCCAGAGTCTGAGGGCCACAGTCTGAGGGCCACAGTCTGAGGGCCACAGTCTGAGGGCCACAGTCTGAGGGCCAGAGTCTGAGGGCCAGAGTCTGAGGGCCAGAGTCTGAGGGTCAGAGTCTAAGGGCCACAGTCTGAGGGCCAGAGTCTGAGTGCCACAGTCTGAGGGCCAGAGTCTGAGGGCCAGAGTCTAAGGGACAGAGTCTGAGGGCCACAGTCTGAGGGCCACAGTCTGAGGGGCAGAGTCTGAGGGCCACAGTCTGAGGGCCACAGTCTGAGGGCCACAGTCTGAGGGGCAGAGTCTGAGGGCCAGAGTCTGAGGGCCACAGTCTGAGGGCCACAGTCTGAGGGCCACAGTCTGAGGGCCACAGTCTGAGGGGCAGAGTCTGAGGGCCACAGTCTGAGGGCCAGAGTCTGAGGGCCAGAGTCTGAGGGCCAGAGTCTGAGGGCCACAGTCTGAGGGCCACAGTCTGAGGGCCATAGTCTGTTAGTGAACTGGACCAAAGCTGAAGATGGCTTTAATGTAGATTGATATGATGTTATTATTTATTTTGTATCTAATTATTTGTTAAATGTTGAATAAATAAAATGTCATGGATGTTTTCTGGTCTATTGTGCATTTAATCCACTTGTTTTTAGTAAGACATGTGTTTATTCATTGCCTATTTTTTTACTCTTTTGACTTGTTTGCCCCTTGAGCCAAAGAAAATTCCTAGTTTGTGACTTTCTGTTGCTTCCAAAGACAATAAAAATAAATCTGAATCTGAAATTAGGTATAACATTCCCAAGAAGCCATACTGACTCACTGCCTTCAACGCTGCAAGTCGGTCTTAATCATTAAAGAAGGGTCCAGGGGCCTCTACACCGGTCTAAAAAAGGGGGCTACTGTGGGCCCCGGACACTTTGTGCCTGAGCTTCATGTTGTGTTGACTGTGTTTAGAGAAAGGGCGGGGCCATATTGGGTCCTGGTTTTGGAGGATGGAGGTCTGTGACTGATGAGGGCGGAGCTCTTACCTGAGGCGGGGTCAGGGGGTAGTGGGCGGGGTCTGTGTCATAGGCCCCTCCTCCTCAGGCTCAGGTGGGCTGTCGGGGGCGTGGTTTGGGAAGACAGGACAGTGAGTCATCTTAAAGGATGTATTTTTCCACTGTTGTGTAAATAACTTCAAAATTAAAAATATTCAGCAGAAATATTGTGTTCATTTGGCCTAAAATTATGAACTTGAGAATATTTGCTTAAGTTTTTCAGATTTTAAAATGTGAAATAATGAAGAGGCAGAAAAGGCCAAAAGTAAAAAGACTTGGGCACAAAATTGTTTTTTTTACAAAATGGGGCTTTTATTCTCAGTGATTTTTGTTCTGTTTAATTAAAAGATAAATGAAAACAAATTAAATAAACACATTTTTTCTCCAAATGAGTTTAGTGAATGTCTGCAGCCACATGGTCTTTACAACTGAGCCTTGACTTCAATCGCACCGAGTTGGATTTTTATATCAATAAAATAATGTAATTTCCCACTTTTTGCTTTTATCCATTTTACATGTTTATTTATAGATGTTTGAATATAATTATATATAATAATATGATATAATTTAAAAACTGTATTTCACATTTTAAACCTGGAAAAGCACAAGAATCACTCTGAAGGATGAGTGAGGGCGGAGGACGAAACACACAACAGAGAGATGAGGAGACACTAGTCCAGATCTCACACACACACACACACGGATACACACACACACACACACACACACGCACACACACACGGACGCACACACACACACACACGCAGACACACACGGACGCACACACTCACACACACGGACCCACACACACACACACACGGATACACACACACACACACGGACGCACACGGACGCAGCATGAAGACGTTTGGCCTTCATGCTTTAGAACTGATGCATTGACATCAGTGATGATTGGAGTGAGCACCATCTAGTGGCAGGAATGAGGAACTACATGTTGTTAGATTCAGACCTATATAGATTTTGACCTGAATCTAACATGGAGCAGTGTAATCCGAGGAGCACAGTTGTAGAGAACAGACGTTTCCTGAAAAAGGCCCAAAACTATCGTTACGGCAACACTGACTTTTATAAAGGCGGAGAACATCTACTCTGAGGTTTCATTTCAGTGTTACCGAGTTTAGAAACTGGGATTTGCATTGAAAGGGGGTCTTTTGGATGAGGGAACAATGTTGATTAAAATGATGAAAGGCTCACAATTTTTTATACAATATCCTGAAACTTTTCCAAAATGTCCTGCGCTCGACTAAATATTTATCCTGACTTCAAGATGTATTAGATTTAAAAGCCACAGAAAATAGACAATTTTAACACAAACCTAAAAAAAAAAACTCATGTGATTTGTTTGTTGAATAACATTTATTCATTTGAATATGTTGTTTATTCTCAGAGACTTGTCTGTATTGGCACAGGACAAGTTATTTCTGGAGATTTGAACCCAGCCCACAGGGAGCCATATTGACATTTTTCTGACTATGTTTTCTCACGTTCCCCCCAGGCCCCTGGTTGCCCCTGGTTACAAAACTGTTGGTTCGTCGACACAGATCAGAGAATCAAACAAATAGAAAAAACATAAAGTCCATAAGGAGCAGAGACCAATGTCCATAAATGTCCATAAATGTTGTTACATTTAAATACATCCCCACTGTCCTTAGATCCTCCTACATCGACAAGAAAAAACTCTAAAACCCCAGTGAGAGAAAAGTCAGCCCACATTTTGAATCAACAAAAAGATGGGCTGATCTTAAGCAAAAAAAACATTAATTTGTATTAATTTGGTTTATTACATGAGCATGAATAAAACATAATAATCTGGATGTATTTTTAATAAATACACACATTATTGTTAGTTTGGAGTCTGTATATTTCACCTCTAATAAATACAAAAACATGAGGATTTTAAATTTCAAATGGATAAGCTTATTTATTACACTAATTAACATTTCATTTCTGTATCTACTATTAAATTAAATCTTAAAAACGGGCAAAATATTTCTGTCAGTTTGGGACATTTTGGAAAGCTTTCAGGACTCTATAACCCTGAATTTCTCAGTTTAATTAAATATACCTCTAGAGTTGTGCTTAAAATATGTGTGAGCGCAGTGTAGTGTGTGTGTGTAGAATGTGTGTGTGTGTGTGTGTGTGTGTGTGTGTGTGTGTGTGTGTGTGTGTAGAATGTGTAGTATGTGTGTGTGTGTGTGTGTGCCTCTGTATATTTGGTTAAAGAAGAGCAGGCGTGAGCAGATGCCTGTGGCTGGTGCAGAGGCGCGGTGGCCAGCCTAGCACACCCCCCCCCTCTCCCCTCCCCTCCCCTCCCCAGCCCCCGCCTCAGCTGCGGGGGGAGGGTGTGCGCGGGGGGGAGGGTCCGAGGTGCTAATTGTCCCATGTTCCCCCTCCTCGGTCGATTGACACACGAGCGGCATGCAGCTAATGGCTTCTTTTTTCTTATTTTTCCAATTCATTCCAATTCATTCAACCTCATCTAAAATTGTCTAAATTTCACGTTTTTTATTGTAATTTTTTTGTATTAATGCATGAGTTTCTTGCCGATGCAGGAGGGTCTAAGGACAGTGGCGATGATCCAGGACAATTGACATTTCACCACAATTTTTAGACTTTATCAAGATTTATGGACATTGGTCTTTCCCCTTTATGGACCAATGTCTCTGTCGATTTAATCATGGCATTTCTTGTGTTTAAACTATTTGATTTTCTGATCTGTGTCGGCAAATCAACGTTTTTTCGTAAAGTCCCCTGAGATAACTACTGCCACAATTCAGAGCTTTGCAAAGATAAATTGAATTGAATTTCTTGTGATAAAAAACACGCAGCATTTTGAGGACTTTTCCCCCATTGGTATCATACAAAATTACTTAAAAATTCTCAATAAACGCAACAATGTTTCCTAACCCTGTCCTCCATGAATACTGAAAAACGTTGCATGCACCAAATTCTAATCAACTCAACTTAATGCATTTTTTAAAGCTTTTTATCTTTTTTCTCCCCACGGTGGATGCAACATGTGTCCGGAGACATCTGCAAACTGCGCCAAGAAAAAAATAAAAAAACGCATCTCTGCAGACAGCTGTACGGTCTGTGTGGTCAGTGCCTATACAGTATACATGCCATACAGTATATATATAAGATACAGTATATATGTATATGGCGGTGAATGGGGGTCTTAGTCACACCTAACGTGGATCACTCGTGCTTCGCCTTCTGCCTTTTGTCCCGCTGCATTGTGTGTGCCGTTCTTTTGTTGTCAGCTCATAATGCGTAAAGCTGCTGGATGTCTCTATGATGAGGACAGGGGTGGGTGGGGGGGGGGGGCAGAGCAGAGCAGAGCAGTGCAGACCCCCACTGCCGTACAACCCGCCCCACCCCAGCGCCACATCGCCATGGAGACGCGCGCTAAACTTCCACATGCAACAGGCTCAGCACCAGTTGTTGCAGCTGATGATGCGACGGATCAACTCCGGAGCAAAGCCGCGGAAACGTGAGCCTTGTGTGTAAAAGCAGAAGGTTTCCACAGAGCGCTCTCTCTCTCATCTGTCGTGTGGAAACTGGGGTTTTATGGTCATTTTTGTCATTTTCTTTGTTTTGGTTTTTTTTTGACAGTATGCGTATGTGCTCCACCTTAATGGCTAATGTTTGGACTCAGTGAAAAATTGAGCGGTTAACGACAGAAAGACTCAAATCTTTTCGTCATCTGGCTTCTTAAATGTGTTTTTGTCTAAATTCATTCATACAAGACAAATGAAGATGAATGAACGATTGAATGGACGTTGAAGAATCTATCGTTTTGTGAAATGCAAACGATAAGAAATGGAAATGATGTTGAATTTAAACCAATTTTTCTCCAAGCTGGAATTCAGATTCAGTCACAAAAAGACATTCAAAATGGGTAGAAATTGGATGAAACAAACCTGAATTCTCCTTACATGTAGCGGTGGTCTCCTCGGGCTGTGGACTTCCGCCTTGGACTCCCGTGGTCTAATATAGTCCCACACAGAAACACGGACAGAAGACAACAACGTAGACAAACCACCACCACATCCACCTATCCCGGGACAAGACGACAAGATGCCCCCTCTGCTCTGGCTTCTTACCCTGGTCACGCCTCTGCCTCTGTCCCAGGGAAAAAGCAGCTGGCGAAATACGGGACAGCCTTGAGCCTTTCCCGCGAGCACCCCGAGGGGAAGCCGAGGAGGAGAGGAGGCGAAGAGGAGAGGAGGAGGAGGAGGCGACGTGGCACCAGCCTGGGAGTGATGGAGCGGAGAGAGAGCGTCCAGAGGTAGAGGCGATGGGGGGTGGAGGAGAGGGGGGGGGCGGGCGGAGGAGAGAGAGAGGAGCCAATCAGACCACAGCGTGACAGAGAAGCAGGCCTCCGCAAGACAATGTGCCGCTGATGGGCTGGATTTCAGATGAAGACCCTTTCCGCTGCGTCTCTGTGCGGCCGCTCCGTGACATTTGTGCACTAAAAAAAATTGTCAAATATGAGGAAATAAATGCTTAAATCCCGTGGTTTAGAGAAATACGTGCGTCCACTGTCATCTTACTTACGATCTCTAATGCCGCTAGCATGTACAGATGTATACACGCAATTATATATTTCTTTCACTAGAATATATTATTAATATTATTTTATACTCTCTTAATTATGCTAAATATAGAAACTTTATACTTGCTTCTTATTAGGCTATAATTAGAGATTGTATATTTGCTTCTTTTTTAGATAGATAGATACTTTATTTATCCCCGTCTGAGAAATTCAAGTGTCCAGTAGCAGCAAAAATAAAAAATCAAATTGATCCTTCGGAAAAGCTAACAATAGTAATAATCAGCAACAGCCCTTCAGGTCTCAGCAGCAGAGGTGGAGTAGCCTCTGGGTGGAGCAGGACGGGTCACAGCAGCAGAGGTGGAGTAGCCTCTGGGTGGAGCAGGACGGGTCACAGCTGCAGAGGTGGAGTAGCCTCTGGGTGGAGCAGGACGGGTCACAGCAGCAGAGGTGGAGTAGCCTCTGGGTGGAGCAGGTTTTCTCATTCCAAGGGAGACATTTCTTGTGTCTTTTTAAAACCAGATAATTTTGCTTCGTCCCGTTGGTAAATCTTGTTTTAAGGCTCAGTCAGAATGAGCTCAAATTAAGACACATTTTGCCAAATTTGAGCAATTGTTGACTCATTATTCATCACTTTATGCAGTGTGGCTCATTATATCTTCAGGACGTCTCAATATTGATCTTGAACAATTTAATACAATCATCTGGTTCAAAATGGTTTTATTGATTACAATTGCGTCTGCCCCTTTAGGCGACATCAGCCAGAAATGCAGCTTGTTGGAGTCAAACTGCATCAGTCACAGATTAAAGAAGACATACCATGCTCTACCCACCGCTTCCATCATCTCGTTTGCTCTTTAACACTTGGGACTGCAGCAATTAACAAACTACCAGAACTCCCAGAGCTACCATTTTGGCTTCTATCATTAAAAACAATGTAATTCTGGGAAATTGCCTCAAAAATGTTAATAAGTAAGTTAATCATAAGGTGTTTTTTTTTTCAACCTTAACCCACTTTTACGAAGTGCAAAAACTGGTGAATATAACTTGGAATACAGCAAAAAGCATTATGTTGCTATGGTAACTAATACCAGGGGGTGACAGTGGCTCAGTTGGTAGAGCATTGGCTTGTGAGCCCCCGCTAAAGGTAGGATTACTCTCATTTCATAAAAATAATGACATAGAAATAAACATTATATAGAGGCAAAAACTTCTGTTGTTTTCAGAGCTTTTCAATCATGACTTTGAACCAGGGGCAGGGCCTTCTCTGTGGCTGGTCCAAAGGGAACGCACCACGTCATAACGGCTCCCTCGTTGGTTTCAAGTCTCGTCATTTCTTATCTCTGGCATTTAACACCAGGCGAGTTGTGTGTTAGGGCTGGAAAATGAAATTCAATACTCAATACAAAAAATAAAAAATAAAAAATAATGACATTCAAACAAATATTAGACACCCCTGATAATCCAATCATCCAATATACTGGCATGGGCTTTGATGCTAAGGGTTTAAGCTAGCGGCTTTTTGTGGAAAGTTCTTCTCCACGAATGCAGCTCGGCACCGTTAGCAACACATTAGCAGCACTTGTTTACAGTCAGAGGAGAATGAGAACTCAGGCTGGAACTCACTCACACTGTGTCCCCCATTGTCAGTCCTGGTTTAATCCTGGTTTAGTCCTAGTTTAGTCCTGGTCTAGTCCTGGTTTAGTCCTGGTTTAGTCCTGGTTTAGTCCTGGTTTAATCCTGGTGTAATCCTGCTTTAGTCCTGGTTTAGCTCCTGTTTTGGCTGTTTACGAGCTGTTTTCATGCTCTGACCGGCTTGTGTCCACGTGACCACTTTGCGGCTCTCTGATTGGTTGCTGCCCGTGTGGCAGCCAAAAAAGTTTAATTTTTATTTTTTTACACCCAGGGAGATATTAGGAGCATTTATTGGTCAAAATAAATAATCGAATATATTTGAATTTTAATATTAATAATACAGTGAAATTGGAATATTGTTTTTGAGCTTGAATCCTCTGTTTTATCCGTTTTATTTGTTCGATTTGTATTGATTTCACTTCATACATAGTAATTGGTTTACTTATTCTATTTGTGAAGCTGAAAAACCTGTGTATTTTATTGTGTTACTTTTATCTCTGTGCAGCTCTTTGAAAACTTGTTTTATAAAATGTGCTATATAAATAACTATAACGGAACTGTTGAGTTTCCTCCCCCTGGCCCCTCCCACCACATGCTCACTCCTCCTCCTGGCCCCTCCCACCACATGCTCACTCCTCCCCCTGGCCCCTCCCACCACATGCTCACTCCTCCCCCTGGCCCCTCCCACCACATGCTCACTCCTCCCCCTGGCCCCTCCCACCACATGCTCACTCCTCCTCCTGGCCCCTCCCACCACATGCTCACTCCTCCCCCTGGCCCCTCCCACCACATGCTCACTCCTCCCCCTGGCTCCTCCCACCTCATGTTCACTCCCCTCCCTAGCCCCTCCCACCACATGCTTACTTCTCCCCTGGCTCCTCCCACCACACACTGACTCCTCCCCCTGGCCCCTTCCACGACCGCACGCCCCCTCCTCCCCCTGGCACCTCCCACCACATGCTCACTCCTCCCACTGGTCCCTCCCACCTCAAGTTCACTCCTCCCCTGGCCCCTCCCACTACATGCTCACTCCTCCTACTGGTCCCTCCCACCTCAAGTTCACTCCTCCCCTGGCCCCACCCACCACATGTTCACTCCTCCCCCTGGCCCCTCCCACCACACACTCACTCCTCCCCCTGGCTCCTCCCACGACCACACGCCCACTCTTTCACTGTATTTGCCGTTGCTGTGCAGAGATTGTTGCTTAAACAAACACTTGATCCGTGGTCTGAGCGGAGCCTGCAGGGCTGAGGGTACACTTCTGCAGAGCAACATGTCCGGTCAATGTCAATTCCTCAGAACTCCTCCCACGCTCTCGAGAGGAAGGGCGAGCGCTTCCAGAGCAGCAACTGATTTGATATTGAACTAAATGTTTTTCAACAAGACTCGTTGTATTTGCATCTCAGATTTATCCAGCCATTTTCTTCCCCTTAATCCATTTCTGGGTCTTGGAGGTGGTTTTATTCCTTGTATTGTCGTTAATGATTTGAGAATCATAAAGAGACCTTTTAACTGTGGAGGGCGGGACATCGAAATGAAAACAATAACAAGATTCAGGGGCTGGAGAAGTAATTTTGAAACTTGAATAACTCTGAACTACTGTTATCACTTAAAGAGGTATTTGAAAAGAGCATGTTTTAATAATGCCTTTTGACTTTGTTTATTTATTAACATTTATGGACAGTACATTCCTCTCCATGTGAACTGACGGCTCCTATGTGTTTGTTATAAATGTATTTTCTGTGTTTAATTCTCTGATGTGTTGATGAGGAACCGACATCTTTGTAAAGTCCTTCCAGACGACTGCTGTTGTGACGCGATACAAATACATGAAATTGAAATAAGAGTTTCATAGCACAAAATCAGCTTAGACTGACTGTATACTTTGTAATGCATTCTCCTGTTTTTAGTATTCCTATTTCTTTTTTTTGTATGGACCAATTTTATTTAGAGTCTGAAATAAAGATTGATAAAATTGTGGACATTTTAGCACAAAGCATTCAGAAGTCAGAGCATTTCCGATGAATTGTGAAATGGACTCGATCCTAGTTTGAGATCACACGAGCTCCGACACAGCGGCATGTGTTCATGGTCTGAGGGGACTTTTAGGAGCAAAAATCCAAACCCATTCAAGCACAAATGTTAAATTAATAAAAAGAGATATTTCAGAAACGCTCTTCAGCTTTCATTCTCCGTCTTTTGGGCTCTGAAATGCTGATTTTTAAAGGATGCAGTCCATATGTTCACAAATCACATGGTTCAGGTTTCAGGACAGAACAGATCTGAATGTTGCTTTCTTTAGTCTTTAATCTATTTCTATTAATTTTTTTCAATTACCTCGTTGTCATCTGTGACATGTAGGTGCCATGTTTTATTTTTATCGTATTTTATTGTATTGTAGTTTATTTTATTTTTATTATTTACTTAATTTATTGTGCCACATTTATTTATTCTATTTTTTATTTTATTTATTTTATTCATTGTATTTTATTTATTTAATTTATTTTATGAACTGTCTCAAACTCTGAGGAGCACAGGGACTGGCCTTCTGCTAGGGCAGCGTTTCAGATTTATGCAGCTAAAATTCCAGATTTTACAGTCTTCCTGATACAACTGAGGGATTTTATCTTTACTCCTCTGAGATAACTACTGTTGTGATTTAGGGCTAAACAAGAATAAATTGAAGTAAATGAATGTATATGATTTACGCCTTATGTGATGAGGCTCGGAGCACTTTGCATTACCTTGTGTAGGAAAAGTGCACTGCAAATAAAGGTTAATAGATTGATGGATGCACAAGACACACATAATACACACAAACAGGAAACATATTACATACACACAGGTATATGTGCATGCTAACCATGAAACAACGGCAACCCCGTGACCCCAACACCAGTCAAAGCTAATACCAGCATTGGGTCGAACAGTCAGTGAAGTCATGGTCCTGAACCAAACCCAAAAAGACCCAAAAACCCATAAGATTCAAGATGGACCAAGCCGGGGCAGTCCAAGATGGCGTCCTATTCAAATGAATGGCTTGTGCTGAGTGGGCACCAGAAGATTAGCAGAACTCGCCCATATTTGAGCATCGTCTGGTCCTCCTGTTTCTGCGCAGTGGACGAGCTCCCATGATGCTTTGCGCCAAATACATGTGTGTGGGTCTCACGCACGTGCACAGAGGGGCTCTGCCGCGCTCTGACCAATCAGAACTGCTGTAAACCATAACTTCAATCGTACGTCAGATATCAAAGTTATTTTAAATAGATTTTTCCCAGTAAGTAGATATTACTCATTTATTGTTAGTTTATTTAAAGCTTGCCTATGTCACTCAGGATTTTCTTTGAATTTAACTGTTTCTGTTCAAGTAAGCCTCACTTTTGACGTGTAGAGTCTTTAATGAGGCAGGTGTGACAACACAGTTTGGAAAGCAGAGGCCACTTTTTTCGGGTTGGAGCGACTTTTGTGTGAAATTATTACATTTTATATTCTAAATTTTTCATATTTTACCGTGAAATATCATATAATAGCCTAGCCTGTTAAGTTGAGCAATTAAGCTACGAAGAGCGTTACGTGTATCACCAATTTTTCAGCGTTTTATTTGTACTATCAAATGTATTTTGGTCTTCAAAACCCTTTCCATGTGGGATTTTATCAAATACATTTCCTAAAAAAAATGCAACTTATACTCTAGTGCGACTTGAATGTTTATTTTTCTTCTATATTATGCATTTTTGGCAGGTGCTACTTATAATCCAAAAAATACAGTATTCTTTACAAACACCAGGGAGAGGTTGAAGAGTTTGTTTAACTTCGTGTCCTTTTGGAGAAACCAGCTCGACTCTCCCTCAGTTTCAGCACTTGTTGTCTTCGGCACGTTGTATGTTCATGTCCGTGTTTTTGCTCCTAAAACCACTTACACCTTTAGGGTTCGTCGCTGGAAGACGTGACATGATCTTTTTGTGACTTCCCTAGAGTATCTGTATTTAGCTTTCTGGAGCTGACCGTGAAATGCACTCTGAGATGTGCACGTTCTAACACAAAAATACATGTTTTACAGTCAGGGACCACCACAAAATGACACAACCAGGGGAGGGCGAGACCGAGCCCCGCGGAGCAGCACAAACAAAACAATACACAACCACACGACAATCCAATCCACTTTATTTATATAACACATTTAATAAAAAAGCAGTTTCCAAAGTGCTGCACAACAGGCAAAAAATGGCAACAAATAAACAAATACACACATGTATATAAAAATAGAAATAAATGGATACAATTAAAAACACAGAGGACCACACGAATCACGCGGCGTTAAAAGCCAGGGAATAAAAGTTAAGACGAGAATTAAAACATTCCAACGAGGGAGCTGTTTTGACGTGGGGGGGGGGCAGAGCGTTCCACAGCTTTGGTCCAGCCACAGAGAAGGCCCTGCCCCCCCGGGTTTTAAGTCTCGTCTTAGGCACCACGAGCTGGAGCTGGCCCTGGGACCTCAGCTCGTGTGCGTGCAGGTAAGGAGGAGACAGTCCATTCAAAGCTTTAAAAACAAACAATACAATCTTAAAATCAATTCTAAAATGAACAGGAAGCCAGTGCAAGGACAGGAGTGATGTGGTCGCGCTTTTTGGTTCCTCTTAAAAGCCGTACCGCAAAGTTCTGGACTAACTGTAGTCGGAGAAGTGCCTTTAGTGAAATACCGGAGTAGAGTGCGTTAAAGTAGACCCGAAGGTTAAAAGATGCAAACACATTTTTTATATTATTATTCTTTTCATAATTCGTACTGGGTAATTTAGGTGTCTTGAGATTACTTCAAAACACTGAGGTGAGCGGGCACGTTACGATGTCAAAACTAACTTACTTTTGCACAAAATCACACCTGAATCACAACAGCTGTCGTCACGGTGGACTTTATAAAGTTGTGGATTCACCAACAACAGAGAATCAAGCAGTTATAAAACAGGAAATGCAATAATAACAATCACATAGAAGCCATTGGTTCATAAGAAGCGGAATGATCACTCTCCAGAAATATTTATACCTGTTCATACCATAGACTGTAAATATTAACGGACGTAGTCACGCCTATCTCCGCCATTCTAACTGATGTGCCACAACTTCCGCGGTCTATGGGCAGTTTCAAAATGGCCGCGGGAGCTGGAAAATGTGAAAAAACCAGTGTGGGCGGGTCCCAGCTCAAACGTGGCCAAAATGACGTGCGCTGACATGCTGCAATACCACCCCGGGCCGATGGGGGTGGACCCAGAAGAAGAATTAGCCAATGCTAACATATAGCATTGGCAGACCTCTCAAAACGTCTTTACAGGATGGACCAAAAGTTGGCAAAGCTCCGTTCCACATGTGTGTCAATGCTGAGGGGGGTGCATATATATATATATATATATATATATATATATATATATATATATATCAGGGCTGGACTGGGACAAAAAAACGGCCCGGGCATTTTTTCCTTCTTACCGGCCCAGGCATGTTTTTGTTTTTTACAGTTTGTTTATACCAGGGATCGGCAACTCAAAAGGTTCAAAGAGCCATATTTGACAAAAAATACTAAAAACATTTGTCTGGAGCCGCAAAAAAATAACAGCCTTGTATAAAGCTTATATGAAGGTTACACAATGTAGCTACATTAGCTACATTAGCCTATTATCTAAATGACCAAGTAAAGGCTACAAATACATGATTAGCATTCATGATTATCAAATGTGAGTTTTCACTGCAGCGTGTCCTGGAGAGAATGACGCACCACGTGATGACTCTGCTTTAACTTTGACTTCCATTTTTTTGCCTTCATGCAACTGTAGAAATACAGTAAATAAATCTGCTTTTTGGCTCAAAGGTCACACACCTGCACTGTCCGCTCATATCGATCAC